ACGACATGGCCAAAGATCCTGTAGAACTGTGTCAGCACATAGCTGCTTGCGAGAGGAAATTAGAGGAGAATGATCACCGTTTGGATCAATTTGCTCAGGCTTTCAGTACGCTTCTCTCTAGAACGGCACATCTGCAGCCTGCAGCGTCTCCTCCTATAGCACCTCTACCCTGTGTATCTCCACCCACTGTTAATAGGACTCTTAGCATCTCCTTATCACCATCCCTACAGTTTGATGGCAATATCCAGGAATGCAGGGGTTTTCTTAATCAGGTTGTTATAAACTCACTGCTTTTGAGGCCTCACCAGGGTCGTTCCCAACGGACAGAGCAAAAATTAGTTATCTAATGAATCAATAAAAGGGCAAGGCCCTTGCCTGGGCATATCCATTGTGGGAGAGTAATCGGAGCATAGCTCAAAATTACCAGGAATTCCTTGCCGAATTCAAGCTCATGTTTGAGCCATTGGGTAGAGAGGATGATGCCTCCACTGCCCTAAGGCACATCAGACAAGGTAACCGGTCTATCTCGGATTATGCTATTGAATTCCGTACCTTAGCTTCCGAGGTAGACTGGACTAACAATGGGTTAATTTCAGCATTCAAAAAAGGTCTCTCAGAGACTATACTAGATGAGATAGCCGCTAAAGAAAGAATTACCCAAGAGTCTTAAGAAATGTATTACGTTTGTCATGCAGATTGATAATAGGTTAAGACTCAGAGAAGTCACCAGAAGCAAGACCAGACGTACGTCTATGTCCCTAGCACCTCAATTCTCTAAACCTGTTTTGTCTAACCTCCCTGTACAGTCCGAACCTATGCAGTTGGGGGTCACAAGACTGTCGGAGGCCAAAAAACAGTATAGGAGAAGGGAGGGGTTATGCCTATATTGCGGTAGAAAGGGACATTTGATAACTAATTGCCCAGTGCGTACGGAAAACTTCCGCACCTAAGAACCTTAAGAAGACAGATCTTAGGTGTGATGGAGTTGTCCTCTAACAAAAACAAAAGTAGATTCCTCCTTGAGGTATCTATTTCCCTTGATAACAAGAAGTTTTCTTGCAGTGCCCTAATGGACTCAGGTGCTGCTGGAAATTTTATTGATGTCCAGTTTATTAGGGGTAATGAGATACTGGTCAGGGAGAGACCTACACTGCTAGCTGTAGAAGCTATTGATGGTAGACCACTCACACAACTGCTTATAACCCACGAAACTGTCCCTATTGGGGCCTCCCATAGGGAGGAGATGACGTTTCAGGTTATTACTTCTCCATCATGTCCTATCATATTAGAGTTTCCTAATATCCCTATATTGACTGGGCTAATGGGGAGATATTAGAATGGGGTAAAGAGTGTATGGGGAGATGTATAAAACCAGTACTGAAGAGACTGGATACTATTGACCTTCCCACTACCACTCCCCAAACTCCTGGAGTTCCCATACAATACCGAGAATTTTAGGAGGTGTTTAACAAGGCTCAATCCGATGTATTGCCTCCCCACAGAGCATATGACTGTGCAATTAACCTGTTTCCAGGCGCTATGCCACCTAAGGGGGCCGTTTATGCCTTATCTCCCCAGGAGAGTAAAATAATGGAGGAATACATCAAAGAATCCTTGAGCAAAGGGCACATAAGAAAGTCATCCTCACCAGCTGGTGCAGGATTCTTTTTTGTTGAGAAAAAGGGTGGTGAGTTACGCCCTTGCATAGACTACAGGGCACTTAATAAAATCACTGTAAAAGATGCATACCCTATCCCACTCATTTCCGAATTGTTCGATGGACTTCAGGGAGCTAAACTATTTACTAAGCTTGACCTTGCGGATTTGCGTATGTGGGACGCACGAAAAGAAACTTGCACACTAGAATACAGGAGCACATTAGAAATATTAGAAATGGTTTTGAGAAACATAGTGTTTCTTTACATTTTAAAAATAAACACGATAGTGATCCCACTTTATTAAAATTTCATGCGATACAGAGAATATTACCTGACTGGAGGGGGGGGGGTTGGGGGGGGATTTTATTAAGAAATTTGGCCAAAAGGAAATGCAGTGGATTTTTAATTTAAACACTATGCAGCCTAATGGTCTGAATGATGATTTTGAGCTTTGTCATTTTTTTGTCATAGATTTTTTTTATTCAAGAATATTTTTTAGTATTTTTATATATTTTTTCTTTTTTCTTTAAATTGATAGTATTCTCTTTTATTACCAGTAATAGTAATATTAATTTTTATTAATTTTTATTGATATCATCACTAGATCAGGCTGCTAGTGTTTTTTCTTTGTTTTTTCCTTGTTTTTCTTTATATTTCTTGGATCTTTTGAACTAATATATTTCTTGTAATTTCTTGCACTGAATACTTTGTCACCTGTTGGTGGATGTGTGCACTGGCACTTTAAAGGATCATAATTAGAATATTATGTGCCTTATACACACTGCATGAATTAATATAAGTACTGACATCATCATCATTTTTTTTCTTTTAATGCTTTGAATTGGTATTATATATTGGATTTTTTTATATTAAGGAGGGCGTTTGCCCAATTCCAAAATGGGCGCTAAAAATAGCATTAGTATTCTAAAAGATCATTATTAGAAGACTATGTGTTTTATATGCACTAAATTAATTAATAAATACATTGACATCACTGTTTTTATTTCCCTTCCTCTTAATGTTTTTTGCACTGTTATTATGCATACCGGACTTCCATGTATAAGGAGGGCGTTTGCCCAGTTCTAAAATGGATGCCAGTGAGAACGGCATGTCCGTTCAGAGACATGCCCAACTTTTTGATGCGGCACGTCAAGTTCCGGGTCACGTGGGCGCCGCGAAACCGGAAGTATGACGATAACCAATGGGAACGATTTTAAGACGAGTCAGTGAGATGAAGGGATTGGATAATGAGATAATTAGTACACCAATCAAGAAGAAGACCACGATATTTGAATCACCACAAGCAGCAAACATATCACCGATTGAGAAAGCTGTCACAGCACAGCGAAACGCGGCTGGAAGATAGGAATATCCATTTTTTAAATATATAGACTTATTATATTTATATAATTTTGTTTATTTTTGTCTGTAATTTGTTTACTTAATAAATTTTGTTTTATACTGATAACCATCTTCCATTGTTGCTGCTTAAAGAAGGGTGGTAGCCTCCTTAAAGGCACAGACATCTACATACCAGGAGCCAGGTATAGGTCTCCCTACCAGGTGAGAAGCCAAATATTTTATATCCACCTCTGATTATTGGGATTTACTACACTAGGATCTCTCCTCTTCTTTTTTTCTCTCTCCTATGAAAAAGGATTCACTGACGAATAGAGGATCGATTTGGGTTTTGTGTCGCCAAAAGTACACATCTGCTGCTGAGATCTGAGCCTATCTTATAGGGCTCAGCTATATGTGAGTGGGTCTATATAGATTACTTAACTATTGTACCCATTTCTCTACGTTACTTGCACCATTTATATTTACATTTGTTTTAGATATACTGCCTCAGAACCTTTTTATACATTTGTATGTAAACTCATATGGGTGAGTTGGTCATATTTTGAGTGCTCCACATGTACACCAGGGGTGTTTTTTTCTAAATTCCTCACACTGAGTGTTCACTTGATCTATATTTGTACTTATGTATAGGGTAGAGAGTCCCTATTCCCAGTGGTAGCTGCTATATATATTCATTTTATTTTTAACAAATAAGCGCCTTGTTAACACACTGTCCTTTGCATTTTGACCTTAGGAGCGCTTACAATTTGGCTAGAATTAAAGAGAATCATGAGTGGAAGACGGCATTTAATACCCGTAGTGGACACTATGAACATCTGGTAATGCAATTTGGGTTATGCAATGCCCCGGCCGTATTCCAAGACTTTATAAATGATGTACTCAGGGAATTCATTTACTCATTTGTCTTGGTTTATTTGGACGATATTTTGGTGTATTCTCCTGATCTTCAATCTCACCACTCCAATGTGAAACAGGTTCTGCAGACGTTGTTGAAAAATAAACTTTATTGTAAAGTTTATTCAGTACAGCCTGAAGTCCACTTTTTGGGTTACAACATCTCTGCGTCGGGATTTCAAATGGATCCTAAAAAACTAGAGGCTGTACTACACTGGTCATTACCCTCTGGTTTAAAAGGCATTCAAAGGTTTATTGGTTTTGCCAACTATTACAGAAGATTCATCAAGGGATTTTCTTCTGTAATAGCCCCCATCACTAATATGACTCGCAAAGGGGTTAGTAGCATGGTATGGTCCAAAGAGGATGTGAATGCTTTTGAGACTCTTAAACAAAGATTTGCCTTTGCAGACATACTAAAACATCCCAACACCAGTAAACCTTTTATATTGGAGGTTGATGCATCCGAGACAGGGGTAGGGGCTGTTCTCTCTCAGAGAGAAAGCCAGGGAACACCATTGCATCCTTGTGGCTACTTCTCCAGAAAGATGTCTCCTGCTGAGCGCAACTACGATATTGGCAATAGAGAACTGTTGGCCATTATTCTTGCCCTCAAGGAGTGGCGACATCTTTTGGAGGGTTCCAAGGACCCCTTGTTGATCATAACCGACCACAAAAATCTGGCATATATAGGGGATGCCAAACGTTTGTCTTCCAGACAGGCTAGATGGTCACTGTTCCTTTCACGTTTTAACTTCCTCATTACTTATAGACCTGGTTCTAAAAATACCAAGGCTGATGCCTTGTCCAGGCAATTTGATAATGAGTCAGCTCCGGAACAGGTGACATCTCCTATTATTCCACCAGAGTGTATTATTGCTACTACTGTCCTCTCACTGTCTTCTCCACTGCTTGGCACCATACTGGAGGCCCAGCCTCAGGCGCCCAGTGGTAAACCGTGTGATAAACTGTTCGTTCCCCTATGTGAAAGGGTTAATATCATGAAAGTGTTCCATGACAATATAACTGCTGGACACCCGGGCATCAATAAGTCCACTGCCGCGATCACTAGATCATTTTGGTGTGATTCACTCAGGAAAGATCTAAAGGAGTATGTGCAGGCATGTTATGTGTGTGCAGTTTCTAAGGTGACTCATGTACTTCCTTGTGGCCTGTTGCAGCCTCTTCCTGTTCCTGAGATTCCATGGTCCCACTTATCCATGGACTTTATTGTTGAGCTTCCTAGCTCTGCTGGGTTCACTACTATTCTCATGGTTGTAGACCGATTTTCTAAGTTGGCTCACTTCATTCCTCTCAAGAAGTTGCCATCTTCGCAAGAATTGGTCCTAATTTTCATACGTGAAATTGTCCCTTTGCATGGCATCCCTCACAATATTGTGTCTGATAGGGGCTCTCAGTTTGTGTCCAGGTTCTGGAGGGCGTTCAGTAAACAATTGGGGTTTGATCTCTCCATCTCCTCCTCCTACCATTCACAGACCAATGGCACAGCTGAGAGGGCTAACCAGTCATTAGAAGTTTATTTGCGTTGTTTTATTAATAGCACACAGGACAATTGGTCCCAACTACTCCCGTGGGCCGAGTTCGCTAGAAACAATGCTGTTCATGACTCCTCTGGGCACAGTCCATTTTTTGTCAATAATGGTAGGCATCCTACGGTTCTCCCTGCGGTATTTTCTGATACTGCCATTCCTGCTCTGGATGAGCGTCTGGCCTCCATTCGGGATACCTGGGTTAAGGTTCAAACTGCTCTAGGGGCTGCTGCTGAACGCTTCAAACATTTTGCTGATAAGCGTAGGAGTGCCAACCCAGTGTACCAAGTGGGGGACAGGATTTGGTTGTCATCTCGCAACATCAAACTTAAGGTCCCTAGCATGAAGTTTGCTCCCAGATTCCTTGGTCCCTATATAGTGCTTCGAAGGATCAATCCAGTGTCTTACTCTTTGGCTCTTCCTGCATCTTTAGGGATTCCCAACACTTTTCATGTGTCCTTACTCAAACCTCTTGTCTGCAATAGATATACTGTTCCTTGTGTTCCTCCCCGTCCGGTGGTGGTGGGTGGTCAGGAGGAGTATGAGGTATCTTCTATCGTGGATTCTAGGTTTTCTCGGGGCACTTTACAGTACTTGGTTGTTTGGAAAGGTTACGGTCCTGTATGATCGTTCTTGGGTTTCGGCTCCTGACCTGCATGCAGGCCATAAGATCCGCGCTTTTCACGCCAAATTTCCTCTCAAGCCTGGTCCTGCTTGCCCGGTGGGCGTTCTTCAGGTGGGGGGGTAATGTCACGTATTCATCCGCTTATAGAAATGTGGTTAATGACATTTACACAGGAAAAGTTGTGCCGAGCAGCAACCTAATCCACAGAAGGGTTAATGCTGAGCAGCAATTATGCAAATGAGACCTGGTAACTGACTTTGGGGTCAAAGGCCGGTTACAGCCTATCAGAACAAAGGAGGGGTATTTAGGCCCAGTTCTCAGCCTGCTCAGTGCCCTGTCGTGGTTTCCCTTGTGGTTGTCAGAGAGCACGTTCCTGTTATTAGTTTTCTACCTGGTTTTTGAGGGCTTTGTTTATTGACTTCTCTACATTCTGGTATCCTGACTCCTGGCTTTCCTCATCACTGCGTCCCTTTCTGTGTTCCCTGACCTCGGCTAGTATTTTTGACTATTCTATGTACGTTAAATCAAGCCATTCTAAGGACCGGTAATACGTTACTTATTTCTCATCCGTGCTATACAGTTCTACGTGCTGGATCAAACAGTAATCCTGACACAGACCACTTCATTAAGCTGAAGTGGTCTGGGTGCCTATAGTGGTCCTTTAACCCTATTAAGCCTGACCAACAGTTATTTTTAACGTGAAGCCTTTATTGCACCGTTGAAATTGAAATGTTTCCTTTAAAAAAAATAAAAAAAATTTTTTAAAATTAAAAATAAATTGCAAATATGATAATTTTTTTGACACATGGTTTTTTTCAGGCCATATTGTATTTTTTATATAAAAAAATATTTGGAACTTTTGGTATACATTATTTCTATGTTCCTAACCCATTTAGGACTGAGTCAAATGTACACGTTTTGATCAAAATAAAACCACACCACACACTGTCTCACGGTGCTTCCATCTCTTCACTTTTTCCTCTTTTATATCACCACCCTCTGTCTACTCTCCTCCTTTACGTTCACGCTGGTCACACACGCGCGATCACTAGAGCACAACACAGTTTAGAATACGGATCTTGGGTGGCACACCTGCACTGGGTAAGTGATTACTCTGTAACAATGTATGCCTTATATAAACAAGTCATTCACTTATATGTACATCTTTACGTTGATCACTTCAACACCATATAAAACTTGTTGAAAAATCCTCTGGAGTGCTCTTGTCATCTACACACACACACACACAATCTAAGTATATATTTAATTTTAAACGGTGTTTAAACTTTATTTTACTTTATTTCATGCAGCACGGGGACTGCCGGTCGTTCCAGGCACTCCCCCTGCTGGCACTGCTTTGGATGACTATTCCGTCCATCTGATCGTGAGGTCCTCATGATCACATGGCCCAGGAAGGCCGGATCAGCAGCAGGTTGACTCCCTGGGATGCCGGGTAAGTCCCCCCCATCGCGATCACCGGTGAGCAGGTAAATGAATAGGAAGGCATGGATGTGGCACGGCATAGCATAGCATAGCACGTCCGCCGTTCTTAAGGGGTCAATCGGGAAACTTTTAAAATCTTACATATTATTTGTTTTGCATTGTGGTAGTCAAATAAAAGTTTCTGTCCTTGTTCAGGCAAAGATGAATGGTACATTTTATTTGCAGTTAAGGAATGCCAAAGTGCTATTGAAAATTACTTGGAAAACGATTAGCAAGTGGACCAATGCAATATTTGACTGATTATCATGATAGAGCAGGCTTAATAAAAAAAATAAAAATACTTAAAAACAGTGGCGTACACACAACCCATGGGGGCCCCAGTGCGAAAACTGATCCGTGGCCCCTGCCCCCATTCTGCGCGGGCTGGGGCCGCAACATCTGGCGGCGGGCACCTGGTCGAAGGGATCGCAGGGCTGCGACGGCGGTATGTACGCCAGTGCATGCAGATACACTTAAAGGACCACTACAGACACCCAGATCAATGAAGTGGTCTGGGTGCCAGGTCCCTCTAGTTTTAACCCTGCAGCTGAAAACATAGTTGTTTCAGAGAAACTGCAATGTTTCACTGAGGGTTAATCCAGCCTCTAGTGGCTGTCTCATTGACAACCGCTAGAGGAGCTTCCGCGATTCTCACTGTGAAAATCACAGTGAGAAGACGCTGAACGTCCATAGGAAAGCATTGAGTAATGCTTTCCTATGGGCGGTTTGAATGCGCGCGCAGCTCTTGCCGCGCATGCGCATTCGGAGCTGAGACAGATCAGGGCGGAGAGATCCCCAGCGCCGAAGACACACACACACTCTCACGAACAGACGCATACACACTAGCTAACAGACACACACATTTACTGACAGACACACACTCAGTGACAGACATACATACACACTCACTGACAGACAGACACACACTCACTTACAAAACATCAAACAGACTCACTAACAGACGCACACAAACTAACACACTCAGTTACACACACACACAGTAACACACTCACTGAGAAAAAAACTAACACACACGTTTAAAAAAAAAAAAAAAATAATCCCCCAGCCTCCCTACCTTTAGGAGAGCGGAGGGGATTCCCTGGGGTCCAGTGGTATGGCTGGGCGGCCAGTCACCTGGCAGGCAGGCTCCCTGTTCAGCTCCCTTGCGCGCCGCGTACTGATGCCGGAGCTGGACGATGACGTCATATTCGGCTTACAAATGAAAGTCCATTGAAAATAATGCCTCGGTTTACAATTTTTTTCGCAATACGAAGCAAGTTTCCCCAGGATTCATTATGCCTGGGAGGTTTATAGTGCCGCCCCCGTGCATGCTGTAGTCTGTGGGTAGCACGTTGCGTCGAGTGTGCAGGTGTTGGGAGAGGCTTTTGCATAGAACTTCGTCGTTTGCATGCCTTTTACTGTGTGTTCTGCAATGTGGGTTGGTTTCCATACCAGCTCATTTTGTCTTTTTTCTGACCTCCAGAACGGATTAATTGGCATTCTGATGGGAAATTGCATTTCGGTTTACACTTTTTTGCAATACAAAACATCCCGGAAAATGCATTAAAAACGGAAAATGAGGTACCACTGTATTGTGAATGGGGGCCCAGAGTGTTAGAGAGACCCATTTCCAGGGCCAATTAGACTCCATTGTAGTTTCTAATGGGGCATTGAGGGGACTCCAACATACAGTTTACAAAATTTGTGAAAAAATATTTTTGAAAACATTGAAAAAATTGAGGTGTTTTTTAACATACTGACCCGGGTGCCAAGAGTTCTAGGTACGCCTCTGGTATGAATGCTTATGTCAATGTCGTATTTAAATTTTGTATTTTTAATATATTTACAAATTTAAAAAAAAGTCTGGTATTTGCTTTGTCATTATTGGGTATTGAGTGTAGATTGATGTGGATAAAATAAAATTTTAAACAATTTAGCATAAGGCTGCAACAAAAATTTGAAAAAATGAAGGAGTCTGAATACTTTCTGAATGCACTCTAACAATTAAAACAAGTGTTTTTTCACAACACCTAGAACAACAACAGCCTTTGTTGTATTTAAGAGCCAGAACATGTCTGTTCTGCATTGCAAGAAGTCAGTTATAGACCAGTAAGTATTGACACCTGGAAAACTGTCACAGCTTTGCCTCCCTAGTTACATATTGTTGCAGGTGCAAAGATTGCAGCAGATCTTAGAATTCCTGGATTTGAGTAACTATGTGTTACATTGACTCAATGGCCTTGATGTGCTTTGAAACTGCTTCTTAGTAGAATATTTAGTTCTGTACTGTTTGAGAGCCATTTCAGGCAATTGTATGTTGTCACAAAAACAGTGTTGTGGAGGGATGGTTTTCCCAATATAGATTTTGTTGTTTTCATTTGTACAGCACAGCACAGCACAGCACAGCACAGCACAGCACGTTACATTTAAACAATGTGACACTAAAAAGGAGACATACAATACAATAACAGTAAAACTATTACAATCTCTAAGATTTGAAATCATTGTTTAGTGAATAAGTGAGTGCACTGGATTGTGTATTTTGTATTTATTGGTTCCAGCAGCACCCTATAATGTATGCATGTTAAGTTAGTGCAGCCCTCTTTCTTTCATGTATATATTTGGGAGTCC